ACATTAGGAATCAAGGTTGAGGGTGAAGAACCTGTACCTTCTATAATACCACTTCAAAAGCATACTCCACCTTCCATGATGTGTTCATATGCACTATACTTGCTAGCATTTAAAGAAATAAAATCCCCAATGTATATAGTTTACATTACAAAGGAAAAGCTATTAACATTAAAATATATTTAGTGTATATAGTAAGAAAACAAAGGACAAGGTTGCATTTACCTTGATGTTACATTTATAATGACGAGTACTGCCCTGAAACCCAATTCTATTTTAAGCAAATATTAATAGTGCTCATCTCTAAATGGTTGGAATGCAACATGTAATATAAATTTCTTTCTTTTTCACATCAGTATACTTGGGTGATGGGTGAAGTAATGACAATGCATACATATTTCATTAAGAAAAAGAAAAACAGAATACTTGTTTATTATAGTACTTTAGTTTATGCATGAAAATTATCTATGGGTGTTTATGTGTGTTTAAATATGTGTGCTTGTATAAAAGATATACTTACAAATTCAATAGACTATATCCTAAATGACTATATTCTTGTTATTTTCTCATAATTTACTTTTTGAACCATATTTTTTATTTAAACAATTATAAACAGTTTTGAACACTCCTATAATCGATTTTGATGACTTAATTGAATTGGTTGCATATGCCTTTTCACTGTAATCAGCTAGCAATTAATCCAGTTATAAAATTATGTGCCCTGGGGTATTCATTTCATTTGAGGTTGTTATTATAACAAAAGGTGGTATTTCCCTCTAGAATAGAGATCATAGAGAAATAATTTTACATGAACTTTTAGTTTAGACCCTCTTTGCTTATTTTATATATATTCCTTTTGTGAAAAAATGAGCGTAGTGTCATATACTTTAAAAAAAGTAGATGACATAATATGTTAATAACATGCAATACTCTGCAGGCTGTTTGTTACTTATTGAATGGGGTTGAATTGTCTGAATATCTGTTAAGTATGTTTTACACTATTATCTCAAAGACTTGAATTGATGTACTTAGGACTATTTATATTAAAAAATAAATAATTAGGACATCTCAATCATAATCTGAACCCTTCTGAAATCAATAGATTAAATTACAATAGGTATGATTGAACTATAGTTACACTTTTGAAAGTGAAATTTACTCATTTTATGTTAAAATTGCTTTTCATGATCATTTCTCACAGATGTCTAAGGAGGAATAGATCACTTGCTAAGTTTGCAGGCGGTTTTTTACTCTTTCCTTTAAGGATGCTGACTAAATGGCCTTTGAAACTGCAGGATTTTTCAAATTTTGCTTGCTTGATTTTGTCTTTCAAAGTTTATCAACATAAAAGAGAGACTTTAAGATTATAATATAAAGTTTGAAGTGAAAGAAACATAAGTTCAAATCCATAAACTACCATGTAATTTTTAGCTGTATGGCTTCCCTATTAGGCCTGAGTTTCTTCATCTGCTTAGCAATCATTTATTTATATAATTAAATATATATCTACTCAGCAAATAAATAACAACATATATTGCTCCATATATGTCAATTTCAAAAGGGTACTTGACTTTCCAAAAGACATCAAAATGCTAATTTTTACTATGAGCACATATTTATTTTAAAGGAAAGTTCACACTTCAAGAGAATCTCTAAGATGATAAAATCTCTTAAACTACTATCCAGGGGGTAGAATTTTATAAGCTTCAACCCTGAAGAAAGGATGGTTTTGTTCACAGTATCACCTTGTGAAAATGAGTGAGTCCTCATGTCCCTCCCTTCCCCACTCTTTTGAGTCTGCTTCTCAAGTCTGAGAGACTCTACTTTTGGAAGTTAACCTCAAAATTCCTCCATCTACCTTAGAATTATCTTTGCTAACCCTCCCTTCACTTCTAGTTAGAGGTTAGTAGAGGTTTCTTCATGGCTAACAGTTTCGTTCACAACAGTCACATGTCTATTCCCATGGTCAGCTACCTGGTCGATACTCCTGAGCTATAGCCCACCTATTGTCAATAATTTAGCTTATTAATCTCAGAAGACAACTTCACATTATGCTCTATGACCATATTACCTGGGCCATAACTAAATACTGACACTTAGGTAAAATTGAACCAAAAATCACCCATGTTGATTGGTGTAAGTCCTTCAGACAGCAAATCTCACTCACTATTTATTAACAAGTTCTTGGTTCTCATAAGCCTCAAATTGAAATGTGCGACACACTTCACTGCTGAAAACATATAGTCGTTTTTTTGTGTGTGTTCAATGCTACTCTAGAGACTAAAATAAAAATATTGATTAAAAAAATCGTGTCTTCCTTATAGAGCCATATGTCCTATAATAAAAGCAATCAGTATTAGAATTAAATGGGTCTATTTCATAAAGATTATTGGGAAAGATATGATAGTAGAGGCAAGGTATTAAATGATAAAGTAAGAATTAATAAATAAATCTAAGAGATGGATAGAAAAGAATGTAGGTACAGGTAATGTCAATGTAAGATAGACATTGTGAAAAGTCTTAAAATGAGCACATATGCAATATGATTCATATCCAAAATGGAAGGTACCATCTGCAATTGAAGAAGAATTCAGAAAATATAAAATCAAGTTGGGCTAATTTTAAGCAGGACTTTTCAGTGTAATTAAGATTTGAACAGCTAAGCCAGAGTGAACTCATTTATAAACTACAGTATGAGGGTAATTATTAAGCTATTGAGACAAAATCTAAATGAATTCTGTTTATGTCCACAAAAGATGGAGCTATAAGATGTCCATTGTGCACTTAATCCCTTCTCTCATGGACTTCATATCCTCTATCATTGTGCCCTTATTCTGCATTGCTTTGCTCAACTCCTATATTACTCCAAGCGACTTTCTGAAAATTTC